CTGTTTTCAAAGTTCAGAGGGCAAAGTGACAGCGCTACTATAGTTCAGGGGAGCAACAACAACAAGAAGAAGCCTTAATTCTAACTTAATTGGGGTCGTACTATAGTTCAGGAGGTAAAAATAAAATTCATTTCCTAGTTTGTATGAATAGGAAAATGTAGTTTAACATCTATGCTTGTACCGTTCTGACCTGTTAGAAGAGCAAGCCTGATGGCCGCTAGATTGATATCGAGTGGTGTCATTTTTTCTTTTCCTTCTTTTACCACTATTCTATCACCACAGCATTATCCGAACATCTGAATTGTTTTGACTTTAATGTTACAAGATCTGGCCTAAAATTCCAAAGTTTATTTGGCGATGTTTTGTTGTATGCATCAGAAATTCCTTCTCCCTTTATTCATTCAGGCACTTGCAAAAGAACTCGTGAGATCTAAGAAAACAGTGAACCGTCTTCATGAAAATAAAGCACAAATGAATTCAATATCGATGCACCTTGGAGAAAGTGATGGTACGAGGTTTCTAATTGTAATATCTAAAGTTGTGGTTAATTTTTGTGTATTCACATTATATGGCTGTTGGAACTGCTACGTAAATTCTCGGCTACTTATCTATGATTTCTGCAGTTCCTTGTCTATGACTTGCATTCCATTATAACCAAGGAAAATTTCTTGCTCGTTCAAATATTTTGCACAGCAAGTAATGAACATCCACATGGTTTCTTGAAATATATAGTTAACCGTTAAATGGGTCTGAGTCTATCATTAGCATTCTGGCTACTAGTTTTTTCTCATGGGTTTCTTTATCAGCCTTTTGGAAATTATTGAGGAATTTTGGCTATTACTTTGTCCCTTCCCCTCCCCCCCCCCCCCCTTTAGTGTGTGCCCTGTGATTGTATATGGTATCACAGTATCCACATACTGGACAAATTATATCTTCTGCATTTTTTGTTCAACTTTTCGACGCTCTCAAGCTTGCAGTCCGTATTTTAGTTTTAGACCCAAATCTGGCTCTAAAATAGCTACCTATTCGTTTACTATGTTGCTCATACACTTAGTTTTTTCTGATTGTTAAATAAGGATTACAAATAAGTTACTCTATATATTTCTGTCTTCCTCCTCCAAAAACCTCTCCTGCGGTTAGTTTCAGCTGTACACTGTGTTCTTTCCTTCTGACTGTAATATATTTGATTTTGCAGCTATTGCCTGCACTGTGGGTCATTTATCCAAGAGTTCCGAGGTTATGAAGCTTGTGAACAATCTCATGAAGGCTCCAGAGGTGGCGGCTACAATGCAAGAGTTCAGCAAGGAAATGACTAAGGTATTTTGTTATTTATGTTTCACTCAGCAGGGAAATGATATAAGTCTGTTTGGATGGATATAGACTCTTCACGGTATTATAATCTAGTAATTGGGGTAGTCATGCCAATGTGTAAATACTATTACAATTTAACGGGAACATTTTTATCCTTTATCCAAAAGCTTTTCCCTCTTTTCTTTAGACCAAAACTAATCTTTTACCCACTTATGTTATTGCCGATTCTCCATTATTGGCTTTAATCCACTTACTTATGTGTCCTCTTTGATTTTAGTAAACCTCATTGAGTTCTCTACTAAAGCACTCCTTATATATCTGATTTCACAGGCAGGGTCATTGAGGAGAGATAGTGAATGATGCTGTTGACATAGCACTAGACTCGGAGGATATAGAGGAGGTTGACAAGGTTTTTGACTGCTATAGCTGGTGAGACTTCTGCACAGCTTCCGGAAGCTGTCAGGAAGGAGAAGATGAAACAACCTGCTGTGGCGTCACAAGCTAGCTGTGAGGTATGTGAAATACTACTGTCATCTAACGTTCTCGGTTTTACTAATTTCTGGTCTTGATGATAGCTGAAGAACATTTTTGCTTCATCTGCAGGATGAGCTGATAGCTGAGGGTGTTGATGATGAGCACGATTTGGAAGAAATAAGAGCTCGACTTGCGAAGGTCAGGTCATAGGTCGGAGTTCAAACCCCAGTCTAGCATTTGTTTTGGGATTATCAGCTATTCACTTCGACATGGCCTCTTGGCCATTATGAGTTTGCACCAAATGAGACGCCACTTAGGCATTTACTACTGACACAGAACTTGGAAGGATCATCTACTGTATATCATAAGCTGTGTTATTAGTTCTAACTTGGCTATAATTTTTGTAATACTAAAGTGCAAATCACATCTTGTGTCCATACCAACACGGAGATACTGTGGTGCTCTTGGTGCCTTGCTTTTGGTTTCTGTTTTACCTTGGATAAAATTTCCTAATTTCCTAAAAAAGCCCATAAGATGTATTTAGCTTTACAAAAAGCATGGCATTTTTTTTTTCCTGAATGAACAAGCATGACATATTTGGATGCTTGCATAAAAAACTAGTCGCCATTTTATCATGAAATTTGGGTCCACCAATGTGATATGAATTTGGTTTCATTAGGTCATGCAAGCGTCGGATGAAGCTTTAGTTTTCAACATCCTTACTACTCTTGTGATGGGAAGCCACGGATGATGTAAATCGTGTAACTGCTTCAACAGCTGAACCAAGTAAAAGCAGAAACGGAACCCCCTTAGAAAACGTTTTTCATTTTCTTTTTCTGAAAACCCTTAAAAGTGGGGGCTAAAAGTTGAGATCAAAGCTATTTATGACTGGTTCTTTTCTGATCATATCGTGCGTGTAATTTATCAAGGATTGTAATAACTACATTAATAGAGTCGTTGAAATTTTAGCATATACATATCAATTACGAGGGTCTTTAGAATGAGATAATATTTTGGTACATAAATGGATTGTTTATTCAGATAATTACTGACTGAAAGAGAACTTGTATTCTTAAATACTACAAGTGCACCAAAAACCGCTACATGGTAAGACCACTTTGGTTCCTTTGGGAGATTCAAAAGTTGAAGCATCAAAACTAACATAGCGAAGGAATGCATTTCACGTTTTGCATGTTGCACAGTATAGCTTACCCATTACACCTTACTCTATGCAACAGTATTTTTCCTACTCTACTTGATTATTGTCACAGATTCCATCAAAGGCTAATGGAATGTGACTGTCTATGAAGTGTAAAAAAAAATCATGATTCTCTTGAAAGGAATTCGCAGTCACTATCACGATTTACTAAAGAAGAGTAAAGCTTTGTTTAAACCCAACCCCCACCCCCGTCAAGGCTTAACCAGAAAAAAAAAAAAAAAAAAAAAAAGGTCAAATCAATTGTCAAAAGTTACAATATTCCTCAACTTGACTACTAACAGATAAGAAAGAAGTCACTTCACTTTTCATGAATCTTATTTGTTTCTTTAAGTCACTCCAAGACATAAGAAGCAATATAAATTTTTCTAAAAGAAGCTGTATATACTAAAATATATAACTTATCTTGTCCAGATCACAAAACTTGCGTGTGTGTGTATTTTCTTTGATGGAAAACTTTGCGTGTGTATGGTTTCAAGGCAATGTTTTCCACGCAATAAACCATACTTTATTTACATGAGGCATCTGTAGCCTTATACTCAACTCAATTCCTCAATTTAGTTATTACGTGAACCGGGAAAAAAAAAAAAAGTGCCTTCATGTATTAAAAGACAATAATGAGAATAATAATAACCACCATAAAATCATACAATAATCAAGTATTAATCGGCGTCAGCCTCTGAGATTATGAGCTAATTGATTGCTCTATTGCCAATAGAAAAGTGGTAATGTTTAGGGTTCATTTCTTGCAAGCAAAGATATTCGAGGTGAGGTACTTTTGTTGTCTTAAGTTCATTTGTAAGTAAAGACGGCATGTTCTTTTGGAGTGTGACTTGAGTGTAGTTTTTGAGTTGAATTTGAGTTATAACTTGAGTTGAAATTGTAATTTGAATAAAGTTGAATAAAGTTAGAACTTAAAAGAACGTGAACTTAAATAAAGCTGTAACTTGAGTTTCAACTTTTTCTAAATTTTATTGCAAAAGGACAACCCTAAAAGACTCACCTACAATCCCATTCATTTCACGAGAACACAAGAATTGCACTAAAGTAATATACTAATAATACAGGAGCAAATTGGAATGTTAAGAAAACTTTTTTTTTTTTTTAGAGGCTTTTCACGTGGCATATGCTTTTTAATTAATACATATACATTCACAAACAACTCTAGGTACATCTATTTTTTGGTAGGACAATTCTAAGTACATGTATTAATAGATACGTTTCCAGTTTCATTAGGAAAAAGATACGTGTAACACGAGACAGTTTAAGCACTAATGAATCATGTTTCTTGTTATTTAAACAAATCATTATAATCCAAAAACCACGTTTCTCTTCCTCAAATGTCGCTATTCTCCATTCTTTAATCATAAAATGCGAGTAGTATCATGTTATCATCATATAATATTAAGAGGACAAATACATATTATTAAGTGTAATTAGATATATTTTAAAGTATCGTTTTAATGTGCTGATAAATGTCAAAAGGTAAACTTTCTAGTTCAACTTAGTTGTCAATCGCATAACACAGGAGGATACAATCATACATAATAGTAAATTATCCTTAAAGCCGCAATTAGTGACCAATCTCAACAGTGATCAGTAACAACTACTTGGAGGGAAAAGAAATAAATAAAAAGAAAAAAAAAATCTTCTAAACTGTACAATTGAGGCTTAACACACGAACCTTTAACTCAAGTAAAACTACCACGTTTTTCCTTTACTTTTCTCTTGTAAACCACGTCTCGCTATAATCATGCATACCAACAAAAATAGAAAAAAAAAATAAAAGAAATTAAAAGAATGATTCCCGATAAAAAAGAACGAAAAAGAAAGCTCATTTAGAAGACCGTTACTTTAATAAAACACATTTCTTGTTCTTCAGCCTTCTCAGCCAAGTCTAGTCAGTCCTCCATTCACATCACATCACAGCAACAAAACAAAAAGACCCTTATAAATTCTTATATTCAAGAACCCATTTTCTCGTAAGAAACAACAACAACAACAAAAATGGCTTCTACTTCTTCGTCTTCTTCTTCTACGATTCTTCTTTCTTTCCTTCTTTTTATAACTGTTTGCTTTTCATTCTGTTCTGCAAGTAAATATGATCATCAAAATAGCGATCCCCATCTCAGCTTTTCTTCGAGGGGTGCTAAATTTCCGAAGCTCCAAGCCCAGAAACTGATAACGGAGCTCAACTTGTTTCCTGACGACGACATAAACGTGGCAGCGCACGCGTTTCGAAACCTGCAGCCAGAGAAGAAGATCGTCGAAAAACGTTTCGAATTGCCTGTTGCTGGGAATTCTGGGGCTTCTGTTAAAGAGCTTGGTCACCATGCTGGGTATTATCGCCTTCCTCATTCCAAGGCCGCCAGGTAATAAAAGCTTTTAACTTACTTTTGGTCCTCTTAATCTATATATGTCGTTTTTCAGTTGAACAATTATGTTTTTTATTTTTTTTATTTTTTTATTTTTTTTTATTTTAAAGGAGAGTAAAGTGTTGTTTTTCAACATGCACTTTGTGTTCTAACTTGAAAATTCCATTTCCAGTGATTTTTTTTTGTTTATTTCTAATTTTATTCCTGGTTCATGAGTGGCCTTTTAAGACAATGCAATTTGGAAATTCTTTAGTTGATACGGGTTTGGGGTCAAGAGGGACCTCCTAATTAATGGGTCCTTTATTGTTTTATGAACAAGGAAATGAGGAGCAAAAAGGAGTGTAAAAATATGTCTAGTTATTGATTTTTTTCCCCCTGCTTTTCCACTTTATAAGAGCTTGTAGGCAATAAATGTGAGCTATCTGATAATTATATCTGAGTATGTACTTGCAGAAGTTGCCTTAAACAGATACCATGACTGCTTAGTTGACTAGTTTCCATTTTACAACACTAGTGAAAAGATACTTTTCGTGAGAATTAATCACAAGGAAGCTTGTGATTAATGTGAAAGAAGAATTAAGGAGTATATTTAGCTCTTTTTTTTTTAAGTTTATCTTAATCTATTATTTGCAGGATGTTCTACTTGTTCTTTGAATCAAGGAACAGTAAGAAAGACCCAGTTGTGATTTGGTTAACTGGAGGGCCAGGGTGTAGCAGTGAACTGGCTGTGTTTTATGAAAATGGTCCTTTCCAAATTGCAAACAACTTGTCTCTTGTTTGGAATGACTTTGGCTGGGACAAGGTAATCATGTTATAGTTGTTCTTCACCTTGGGTTTTTATTTTTTTTACCCACTACTACATTTGATTTTCCCATGTGCTTTGCCTTTTTCTTCATGGTTAAATTACAGCCTTCAATCTAAGGAAAAGAAAAAAAAAATTGCCAAGGAACCCCCTTCTTTTAAACATTTTATATATAACTTCAAAAGCAATTCGATTAATTTCAGTTGATTTTTTTCCTTCTTTTCCACCTATTCTCCCCTTCAAGTTCTTGAACGACCTCTTGATGTTCTTTTGCAGGCATCAAACCTCCTTTATGTTGACCAACCTACAGGGACTGGTTTCAGCTATACTTCTGATGAGAATGACATTCGTCACGATGAAGAAGGCGTGAGCAACGACTTGTACGACTTCTTGCAGGTATGAATTCTGTACCTTAACATGAGATCTATTTTTGATAAAGTATACATATAATGGACATGTGAAAATAAGAATTTAGTTATCTCGTACTGAAGTGAACCTGTTTTGAATTCCATCATTCAAATGTTAATCTAGAGAGAGAAACTCATGATTCACTTTCTTTATAATTAACCTCAGGCATTTTTCACTGAGCATCCTCAATATGCTAAAAATGACTTCTATATAACTGGAGAATCATATGCTGGCCACTACATCCCAGCATTCGCCTCTCGGGTTCACCAAGGGAACAAAGCAAAGGAAGGAATGCATATTAACTTCAAGGTAATAATTTAACATACCCGATTACATCGAACTTGCTGCCACATTAAACATATCAAGGCAATAATCCATTTGATTTTGTGGCTAAACAGGGATTTGCCATTGGAAATGGCCTAACCAACCCTGAAATCCAATACAAGGCCTACACTGATTATGCGCTGGATATGAAGTTGATTAAACAAGCAGATTACGACGAGATTAACAAAATGCTTCCAGCATGTGAACAGGCAATTAAAATTTGTGGTAATCCTTCAGTTGTCCATCATTTTGTTTCCTTTACCTGATCATTCCCTTGGCTCTTACAATTACTCTGTGAACCATAACAGGTGCTGATGGTGGAGATGGATGTGTAAATTCATATCTTATATGTAACAACATATTCAACAGTATCATGGACGTTGTGGATGACACAAATGTAAGAAAGCACGACTCAACCATCTTTGGTTTTGATTAGTAACAGCATCAATTCTTGGTGAAACATAAATTCGATTTCAGATTTGATGTGGGTTTGTTGTTTTCCATTGATCTGCAGTATTACGATGTTAGAAAGAAATGTGAGGGGGACTTGTGCTATGACTTCTCAAACATGGAGAGATTCCTGAACCTGAAATCAGTTAGGGATGCCCTTGGAGTTGGGGACATAGACTTTGTTTCTTGCAGTTCTACCGTATACGAGGCCATGGTCGTGGATTGGATGAGAAATCTTGAAGTGGGAATTCCTGCTCTTCTTGAGGATGGAATTAAGGTGCTTATCTATGCTGGGGAGTACGATCTAATATGCAATTGGCTCGGTAAGTCTCTCTCGTTGAATTTAAAGCTCAATATGTTTGTCTGCACCTTCTATCACACGGGATAAAGTTCTATTTTTTTCCCTTGGAAACTTCCATATCATCACTCGTCATCTACTTGGCAGGAAATTCAAGATGGGTTCATGCAATGGAATGGTCTGGCCAGAAAAACTTTGTGGCTTCGAGTACGAAACCGTTTGTGGTTGATGGTACAGAAGCAGGATTGCTAAAAAGCCATGGGCCTCTTACTTTCCTAAGGGTCTCTCTCTCTCTCTCTCTCTCTCTCTCTCTCTCTCTCTCATGTTCAATTGCAAATTGTAACCTTTTCATGTAATTGAAAAACAGGTCCATGATTCTGGTCACATGGTTCCAATGGATCAACCTAAAGCCTCATTGGAGATGCTAAGGAGCTGGATGCAAAGGAAACTAACCAAGACCGAGACTGAGGAAAGAATATCACCCAAGTGATTGCCTCAACTATGGCGGCACATCTCTTTCTCCATCTAAACAACCCTCTAATTTCAGGATTCCAGAATGGCCTCTAATCAAAGCAGGATCATTCTGTATTTATTTCCTATCTTGTCAAGGAATTTCCTATAAAGTCACGGTTCACTGATATCAATTTACACGTTTACGTCCATGTTTATTGTGAATTTGTAAAGTTACTTTGCAATAAAAAAATCTACACATGCTCAAGTTGTTAACAAACATTTACCAAATCAAGGGACCAGCTAACACAATTTTATCTTTGTCAGCACAAGAAGTTACAATTGTCATACAAATACTAAGACCAGCATATCAAAGTGGCTAGTAACAAAAATATGGATCTGTCTCCTTTAACAATGGAAAATAAAGAAACAGTCAAGATTAAGAACCAGGTCTAAGTCCATAGAATTCCTTGAGTGTCTCAATGGCTGGCCGAAATCCAGTCCTGAGAGGAACAATTTGTGACACACGATGATGTTGTGCATTACCATTTTTTGGCCTTGATAGGGTCACTTTTATCATCTCTCCCTCCAGAATTTTATTAGTAGTCGCAGCTGTATGTGTATGTCACACCCATTACCCAAAACATAAACAAAAAAGAAGAAAGAAAAAAAGAAAGAAAAATGGTATTACCAGAAAAAGGGTGAAGCTTGGCAAAGTCAAAAAACTCATCGGCAGTACAACCAAACAGAACCTTAGCCGCCCTGTCGAAGCATATCACCGTAAACACTTTCGTATCTGATGCTACAGACATCTGCCGAAAATGGTAGTGAGTGGAAAACCCATTTGAGAGAAAATCAAGATTCAAGAATGAAAGTTGAGGAAATGTGGGGACATGTCAAATACTACTTACGAGAATGCGAAAGAGGAGTTTGGAGGAAGAGGAACGAGAGTTGGAGGAAGAGGAGCGAGAGTTGAAGGAATTTAAGTTGCAGAAATTACACAGAGAAGTGGGATTATCAGGAAGAGTCCTCTCGCAGACGGAACAGACTCTGTAACAGAAGTTGGTTTGGTCCATTGCTAAGAGCGTGCAAATCATTGTCGTTGGTTTACCGATCTCCATTGTTTAAGGGCTTGGATTTTGTTATTGGCTTCTTAATTTTTTCTCAGCTATGTGGTTGTTGAATTTGTCGCGAAGCCTGGACCAGGCGCCTCCATATATAAAGGAGGAAGCTTTTTGAGTGGTGTGTGTTTGCTTCTCGGGAAAATGTCGACACTCGAAACGTAAAATAGGTAATGTCGTTTGTACGTTGTCTCGAGATTTGTCGTTTTCCTGCATGTTGTCGTCTCCGGATAATATTTCATGCGATTTCAGTACAAATGCCTGTCGTGATGGATATTTTTAATAAATGGCGAAAGTTTTGTAAAATTGTAAAAATGGCTGTTTTTATTAACTTAGAAGTTAATTATTGATTGATTATTAATTACTGACTCAAGTTTATCACCGATTAATTCAATTATTTTTTATTATTAATTAATATTAATTAATAATTAACTAAAATTAATTAGTAATTAATCAATTTCAATCAATAAATTATATGTTTATTAATGATAAATTATTAATAAGTTAATAATAAATCGGTCGATCATGATTGGCCATCAGTCAATCATAGATTGATTGTAGTCCATTGGTCAATTGATTGACTCAGGTAAATAAAATGACAATTTTCATAAAATAAAATAAAAAATCGACCATTTATGAAAAGAGATTATTAAAAAAGACTACCCAACACAATTTTCCATATTTCAATTGAGATTTGACCCCTTTTTGAGCTGTGTTCGAGTTACTACAATTTTCGATTCAGAAGTCGATCAGTTTTCTTAAAACTAAATATTCATAATTTTAAGTATTAGGGTGTGTTTGGTTGCAGTGGGGGAATGGTAATAGAAATGGTAATGGGAATGGTAATGGAATAGAATGGAAAGAAAAGATGATTCATTTGTTTGGTTATACTTTTACAAATACAATAGAATGAGATATGAATATTTTCATTTTGGCAAAATTACCCCTCATATTAATATAACTAATATCATATATATGAATATAATCATTTAATAACTAATATATATATATAATTATAAGGATATAATATATATAATTATAATTATTGTTTTATTAGTTATTGTCGTTTTATTTATTCTGGTTTGAGATGATGGAGTCACTTTCTAGAGAGCTGTCGTTTTTTTTATTTATTTCTAATTATATCGTTACCACGGTGTTACGATTTTTTTTAACAATTATTTTCCTTTTATTTTATCATTATATTGTCGTATATGTGCCATCGTTTTCGTTCTCTCTAATTATGTCTCTTCTACGACTTTTGCGTTTTTAAAAATATGTGGGCATGTTCATTTAAGTTTAGAATTTAAATTTTATTATAGTAAAAAATTTTTAAAATAGTCACATTTAATTTTTTTGTTACAGTAAAAAGTTCTTATATAAAATCACATCTCAACTCGAATTAAAAATTTGAATCAACAAACTAAACGGGCCCATAACTTTTCTCTTTGTTTTTTTAGACATTCTTCGGTATGCCAACATACCGGTAAGCTAAGTTTTTTGTCCGTCAAATTTACATAAAATCACATAAAAATTAAAAAATACGTAAATTTAATTATTTAAAAAACTTAATCAATCAATATGTCGAACGTACCAAGAGAATCTCTTTTTTTTTTTTTTTTTTTCCTCATGTTTTCATAACTTCGTTTCATTAGGTTTATAGTTTTAGGAATTGTCAATTGTGGCGTTTTTACGATGGCGTCGTCTTCATTTCGTTGATGTGGTTTTTCATTTTTGGAATATCATTTCTTTGGCTCTGGAGGTCAATGACACTGTCGTTTCCTGAAGATATTGTAGTTTTTAAACTCCCCCCCTTTCAATTTTGGTTCCACCATTTCCATACTCTTGATGCTCGCATTCCCGCACACGAAAAGAAGCTCACAGCCTCGTATAATTCATAAAATTTTGAGTCTCTGCAAAATAAACCCAACCCGTTTGCTCACACGCATCTTTTTAACTCCAAAAACGCTTTCAACTTCACTTATTGATTCTTTCTCTTCCGACTCCCAGGTTCGCTTCTTTCAAATTTCTTCATCTCTTTCTGTTATTAAGGTATAAACTATAAAGTAATCAAATTGACGAATTTGTTTTCTCAATGTCTTTTTTTTTGTTTTTGTTTTTTTTAGAGTCAGAAAAGTAGGTTGGCTTGTTGAGTGTGGATCAATTAATTCTCGCCGTTATCAAATGGAGTCTGAAAGGTATTATGCAAATTCCTTTCTTTTTCTTATTTTCTAATCATGTTTTTCGATACTTGTCTGTTAAAAACCGTGTTAATTTTCTGTATCAGGCTAAATTTGCCTACAACATTCTCAATGAGTTTAGAAGTTATGGGCCACGAGTTGCAGTTCTCTCAGGCATGTTTAATTTTGCGTAGACAAGGTGTTTGTGCTTTTTATTATTTCCAAACCAAATTGCTGTTTAGTGGTTTTTTTTTTTCTGGCATATTTCTCAATTATTTCTATGACTATGAAAAAATTGTTATAATTGTGTAGGATCCCAATTCCAAGCATTTAGGAACGACTGTTTGGGACGCATCACTTGTGTTTATCAAATTTCTGGTAATATAACTCTTTGCCCTTACATACTCTTGCAATGGAGAAATTGCAATGTTTTTCTCCATGTTTTGGCTTCAAATGCTGTTAACTCAGAACAGATTTTAAAGTTTGAAATTTGGTTGGTTTGAAAGGTCATGTAACTTGCTAATCTGCAAGTTTTAGGTTTCTTAAGCATTGTCACATTTTTACAGGAAAAGAATTGTAGAAGGGGAAGGTTTAGCCCATCTAAACTGAAAGGAAAACGCGTTATCGAACTTGGAGCAGGGTGCGGAGTAGCTGGGTTTGGTGAGCTTATTTTCCTGTCTCTCTATCTCTCTCTGTTTTTTTTTTTAATTTTTTTTTTAAATTAAGCTCCATGATGTTAAACTATATTTCTGCTTTGAAATTGGTCTGCTGTACCTGGCATTGCCGGCTAAATATAATGCTGCCTATTATGATTTGGGTTTTCTTTGTAGGTATGGCATTGCTTGGATGTGTTGTAGTTACGACGGACCAAAAGGAGGTTTTGCCAATTTTAAGAAGAAATGTTGAACGCAACACTTCATTGATCATGCAGTCAAATCCTGGTTTGTGCTTGGTGTATATGTGTATATATATATATATATATATATATATATTATTTATTGAATGCTCCTTGAATTTTGCAGTGTCTGTTTCTGCCTGCTTCTCATCACTCTAATTCAGCACCAATTTACATCGGATGCCAAATGAATCAGATTAGCTGAATTAAACTACTTTTATATGACATGCAAATCATGTTGTTTTGTAGATTCATTTGGTTCCATCAAAGCTGCAGAGTTAAGCTGGGGAAATGAAGATGATGTAAGAGCTGTTGGTCCACCATTTGACTATATCATAGGCACCGATGTTGTAAGTTCCTCTAGTGATTATACATTTTTTTCCTGCAAGAAAGACTGAAGACAAATATATAGTTACCTTCCTAACTGCTTGTCCATGTTGGGAAGGCAACAGATCAATAATATGGTAGTCTGGTCTGATTTTTGAACGTTGCCATTGAATTTATGTGCAAGCCTCACTTTTATATTGTTTCTTCAATCTAATTGATGTTGTTCACACACTTTCTAAGCCCTCAGAAGTGAGCATAATATTGCTTTGATTCACATGTTATTTATTCGAGCTCCTTATTTGTTACGACATTCCAAATAAAAACAAATTCGTGTTCCTTAGATATGTGTGCTCCAATAAATAATTATTTCAATTTCAGCTGAACTTGGATGATAAAATTTTAACTTCTTTGCATCTAAGGTTTATGCAGAACATCTATTAGAACCACTGTTGCAGACAATATTTGCATTATCAGGACCAAAAACTACGATAATGGTATGATACTCAATTATTTTTTGTTGGAATCTTTACTTAAAAAGTATCACCATGGCCTCATTTGGAAGAAAATTTCCTTGAAGGTGGGTTATGAAATCCGTTCTACCAGTGTCCACGAGCAAATGCTCAACATGTGGAAAAGAAACTTTGATCTGAAAATTGTTCCAAGTTCCAAGGTAAGCATTGCGTTCTATGCATTATCTTTGACTTTGCAATTTGTATTCCTGGATAAATGCCATATAACTTCACTGTGGTTTGCAAGTGAAAGTCCAAATCCTACATGACTCGCCTACTATTAGTGTTGATTGAAGGAAACATGGTTTCCGAACTCTTTCTGAATTGTTCTCTGATCACTTGATTCCATGCAGATGGATGACACTTACCAGCATCCAAGTATCCAACTTTTCATTATGGGATTAAAACCGCAAGTGGAAACCAAAGAAAACACTTCTGAGGAAGTAGCTCAACCAAGTGATGAAGTTGAAACAAATCAAGACAAGGATGAAAATGTTGGTGGATCTAATGAGGTGGAACAAGAGACTAAGGTTGTTGATGTAAAGGTCAAGGAGGATGGTGAGATAGTGACGATACTCCCAAATGCAAAACTCAGCGAGTGGGAAGCTAGAAGATACGGCTCAGCAGCTGCCAGGCTCTTGCAAGACGTCAAAATTGCTAACAGCTAGGGGTGTTCTAGTGATTCGCCCTTTTTGCCACAGGTTTGTTGTATAATCCCATTTTTTGAGGGATGTCATGTTATGATGTTGTTTCGAAGCTCGTTAAATTATGTACAATTGATGGTTTGGTAGTTTAGAAATGGAAGCCTTCTAGCTTTGTTTTCTTTGTCTTTGTTGGTACAATGCTTGTTAAATGAATCTTGTGAAATTGGGGATAAAATTTCTTCAATAACTTGTACTGGAACATCTGAACATTTACAACAAGAACGTATATAAAATCTATGTTGTGGCTATTAGAGAATTGTTGACAACAATCTGGTGAATAAATTGACTGCTGTTGGAGCTTGTTCCTCTGCTTATATCAGCTACATCGTCTCTCAAAATAGAAAAGTTGTCCATATAAATTCCCACGTACGAAATAAGTGGATCTGCCCTGGACTTATCAATAACAAACCTCAAAAACTGAGACTTAACTGTCGGAAAACGCAACAGCCGCTGATATCCGACTGTGGTGCCATTAGCTACTTTCTTCCACTTTTCATTTTCATCATCAAGAATCTCAATGTGAAACTCAGCAATCCTCTGCCCCATATGAATTGGCTCCTGAACTTGCAGAACATTGAAAGATACCGATCCTTGAAGGTCCAAATACAACACCCAATCAGGCTTATTCTTTTTAGGCGCCCAGTAGGTGAAAATACCTTCTTTAAGGACATTGTAAGGGTCAAAACGGGAGTCCCCGGCCGCTCTTGTACTGCTGGCAACAAGAAGAGCATTTATGGCTAGATTATGAGAGAATATGGACTTTCTGATCTCACTGAATTCCTGAAGCACTTGTATGTCTTCAGGTGATATTAGACCCGAAGAGTTTGGAGGCACATTTAGTAAAAACAGACAGTTTCTGCCCACTGATTTGTAGTATATGTCAAGAAGAGTTATGGCAGACTTTGGAGCTTCTGATGGATGCCAAAACCAACCAGGCCTTATTGAGACATCGCATTCAGCAGGCACCCAATCATGCCCAGCTGGGTCTCCTCTTTCCGAGTATCTGTTGAACAAACCAATAATACTGAATGAATCCATATTCATCACTTGGATAGATAATAAAATATAACAATTTCATAAATGTTCTTGGTTTTCATATTAAATTGTTGGAAGTGAACTCACTGAGGATCGGTTCCGCCTATTTCCGCATTACTGCAGTTGAAAAGAGACCAACACGTAGAGCCAGCAACACCAGCCTCATCGCCAATCCACCTGGTATCTGGACCAGCGTCTGAAAAGATCACAGCACCGGGCTGGAGCTGATGAATGAGACTGAACCAGGAATCAAAGAAATACTGCATGTCTTTCTGTCCCTCTCCCTTTGCACCATCCAACCACACCTCTTTGATTTCTCCGTACCTGGACCGATTGATACGTAACCAATTGCATAAGCCAATTCATATCTCTACCAGAAAATTCGTCTAAGCAAATCACAATATATCTTGAACAACTAGCGATAACAAACAAGCTAACTAAAAGCATATAAGAATAAGGTCTCCAGGCATTTGCGTCAAAGTTCGATCAACTGAGCAACTTATAGAAATTGCAAATAACTCGTGTAATTTCAAGCAAAAAAATAACTCATGTAATCACAGATTAATGAACAACCCAGAATAGGAAACACAACAATCCACGTGAAACATCAAAGAACAAAACTTGCAGACAATAAATATATCGAAACATGACCCATCAAAATTCAGAAACAATCGCAACTCCACAACAAACCAAACTCGAATATGTATAAACAATACAAACCCAATCCACAAAATGACAAAAATTTCATACACACAGAGACTCCAAAACCCAATTTTTAAAAAAGAGAAAAGATCACCTTGTGAGGAGCTCAGACATCTGCCCCACATAGAATTCATTGTAATCCAAAGTCCTTCCGTACGTCCACTCATGGCGGTCCCAAGGCGAGAGGTAGAGTCCCAGCCCGACACCGGCGTCCCTGGCGGCGGCGGCCAAGTCGCCGACGACGTCGCCGATCCCGTTGCGCCACTTGCTCGAACGCACGGAGTAGTCGGTGTAGGCGGAGGGCCAGAGGCAGAAGCCGTCGTGGTGCTTGGCGGTGAGGATCACGCGCGAGAAGCCCGCGTCCTTGGCGACCCGCACCCACTGGGCGGCGTCGAGGCGGGTCGGGTTGAACACCGACGGGTCAGCGTGGCCAGTGCCCCACTCGGAGTCGGTGAAGGTGTTGGGGCCGAAGTGGAGGAACATGGCCATTTTGCCCAGCTGCCATTGGAGCTGGGAAGCCGACGGGATGGGCAAAATGGGAAGTGGTGGTGGTTCTACTGTCAAAGATAAAGAAGAAGAAAAATATGATGATGATGATGATAAATAGAATAAAAGAAGAACTAAGGGAAAATGGCTGTTTTTCTTCTTCTTCATTATGGTTGAGAACTGGAGTGTCCGGAGTTGAGCTGATCTGGTCAGGATTCCTTGGGATTTTGCTTTTTAATGGGGTGTGTGTTTTGGTTGACTAGCAGAAAAGCAAAGGGGAGGTTGTTATGTCGTTTTAGCCTTTTTCGTTCATTTGGGTTTTGGTCTATGATGAGTGTGACGTCAAGTACTCTGGCAATTGGTGACTGGTGTTCTATTTCTTTGTCTATACTTAAATCGGTTAGGAGATTCTTTTTAGATTTTTTTTTTTCTAGGTTTCTGCATTGGTTAAAACTTTTGTATTTTACTAAAATTTGATCTTGGTTCTTGATTTTTTTTTTTTTCTTCTCTGTCTCTCTTTTCAGGAATGACAAATTGGACAACGTTCATTTGGATTTAGAGGATTGCTTAAAACGGATGATCTTTGTTACTAAGACTGAATTGGTTAGCCTTTTATATTCGCTTGCATTGTGACATAATGGAATAAGTCACCTCAAAGCTCAAACTAACTAATCTAGAGTCTCCTGTTTGATTAAAACTCAAAAAAAAAAAATTGTACGAATTTATAATTTTATTTAAGTTTATTTTTTTTTATTTTATAAAATTTGAGTTTGAATTTAAATTTTAACTCGAGTTTTAATTTGAGTTTGAGGTTAAAATTTGAGTTCAAGTTCCATCTTCAACTCAAGTTCTTAAACTCAAACGCAAGTTAATAAATAATATTTTTTCTATTCTTAAAAACGTTATAAATTTTTCGTTTTAATTTCGATTGAGATGATTTTTTTCTATGCATTCACAACGAAGAGACAAATAAAATCTCACTCATATACCCTATTAAAATTTTTCATCATCATTGAGTTTTTATTAAAATATTATCTAGATACAAATTCAAGTTTTGACCCACTCAAACACAAACTCATATAGATTCTCAATTCAAACTACAACTCAAATGTGCACATTCAAATATAAACTCAAGTTACAACTTCAACTCAAATTATAACTCAAATTTAACTTAAGATCTAAACTCAAGTCACTATAATAAAAAAATGCAACCAAACAAACCCCTATTACCTTGGTTCAGTTGGTGAGAAAAGAATTTTCTTTTCTCTTTTTTTTTTTTCCTATGAGACACAAATTTTTTTTTTTTTTAAATAGTTGAGTGCAAAACACTTGTTTGATAAAGATCCGTTTTTGAATTGCTTCTGTATTGAAAACGAAAATATGGAAGGCAAAAGACAACTAAGAAAAAAATAACGACAATCAAACAAAAGACACGCACCGGCATTTTAAACGACAACAAATAGAAAACGACACAAAAAAATGATAGACAAGAGACGGTACTAAACTTAAAAACCACAAAAAGAAAAAGAAAAAGAAAAGAACGAATGACCACAACAAAAATGAAAACAGACAAAAACTCGTGAATAACAAATCAAGAAACAACGGGAGAGAGGGAAAACAATACTCAAAGAAATCAACGATAACAAAGAACAAATGACACCAAAAACAATAAACGACACTAAAGTGAAACACAACAAGGAAGGAAACAAACAACAAATGTTAAAAGCGACAAAAATTGAAAACCACACATAAAATTATGAACAACAGTAAAGCAAGAAACGACAAGAGAGAAGGGAAAAAAACACAGAATAAACGACAACAAACAACAAATGAGACAAACGATACGAACATGAAAGTGAAAACGACACCTAAAATATGAAAGGCAGTAAAATATAAAACGACAAAAAAAAATGTAAAAGGCAATAAAACTGAAAACCACAACAAGGGCGACGGACAACACAAACACGAAAATTGAGATAAAAGGGGTTAAGTGTTAGTAAGCTCAAGAATTTTTTTTTTTTTTTTTTCTAAGGAAACGAACGACAACAAATGAAAGTTGCAGCAAAAAGAAACAATACTTACTATGATAACCACAAGGAACTAAACAAAACAAACCGACAACAAATGAGATAAAATCAACAAAACAAAGGGATCACAAGTTCATAACACGTAAAAATAAACGACAACAAAACAAAAAAAAAAAACAACAAATGAGATAAAAGAAATATACGAAACTGAAAAATGACTGTAAAATGAAAACGGCATCTAAAATAATGAACGACAAAAAAAAGTGAAACGACGAAAACACGCAAAGAAAAACAAATTAGAAAACGACGTCCAAGATAAGAGATAGAATAAAATAAATAAATAAATAAAAGAGACTAGGAATATCATAAAACGACAAAAAAAAACCAAACAAAAGACAAAAAACGACAGCTGAAAAAAAATACGATGGCTAGAATAATACAAACGCTAAGACCCAAATAAAATAATGACGTAAAGAAATATAGGGCGAAAAAAAAGGGGAAAAAAACCGAAAATAGCAAATGGTAACCAAAGAGGAAAATGACGGGAGTCTTAGGAGTTCATTAGTATTTATCTTCTCAACAATTTTTCTTCTACCAATACAACGTAAAAATTTCTTTTCACCTTCTTCGTTGTTCATTTTACTTCTTTCCGCAATTATGCCTGTTCTTTTTATCATATGAGGAAGACATTTAGCTGGGCACACTCACTTGTTGAAGTTAATTTGTTGATGCTTTAAGCAATGATTAGGCGAATTAGTCCATGATTACTAAGGTCTCGCTCATTTCGTAGATTCGAGTTTTTAATTCGAACTGAGATGTGACATTTTTTGAGAGCTTTTTACTGTAGTAAAAAAGTTAAATGTGATATTTTTTGAGAACTTTTTACTGTAGAAACCTAAAACTGAAAACTCAAATCGGTGAAATGAACAAGACCTAAAGTTAAACGGTACTGGACAAAGGGGGGTAGGACTTGAATTTGAGAGAGCACGAGTTGGTTCAATCTAGCATTATGTTTTAAAAGAAGTAATTAGGATAATATATATCAAAAAAAAAAAAAACTATATATGCATCAGACTTCATCATTAGCGGGCTCTTGGTCACTATATACAGTATACAAAGAACCGGCTGAAGAACTCGAACGTCCAACCCTTACTTTGGTTTTTTTGTTTCTAAAGAAACATTTGTGAAAATAAAAATGATATAATGTAAAAGTAATAATAAACTTGTACTTTTAAAGAAAAAAAAAAGGAAAACTCTATATAATGTAAAAATAATAATAGAAACACCAATTTATACTTACCCTCTTATTACAAAGTCGAATAAAACGATGAAGAAAACTTAAAAAAGAAATGGTACGTGTACCAAATTTCAAAGAAGAAAATCACTCGAAAAGTACACCAAACTAACATTATAACATTTAAAAAAAAAAAAAGATAATGTTAACTAATATTCACTAATTTAAACGCCCCATTTCACTTTCTGCTATTCACTAGAGTATTGAATAGTTTCCATTTCAAATTGTCTTCAACCAAGTAAACTATAGGATGAAGCGGCTCAATGATGCGCAAATCATGTTTTCTCTCTATGGATAGAGTACTGATCATTACTCAAAAGTGGAAGACAAGTAAGATATTGAAATGTTGAACGGTTCCAAGCTAAAGTAAGTTTTGACTTTTTCTTTTCTTTTTTTCCTTTTTACATTTTCCTTTTCCTTGATAAGGACCCATGAGATGGTGGGATTTGGTTTTGGCATTAGCCATTTAACTTTTTGTTTTTATTGCACTTTATATGGGATTTTGTATCTTTTTTGCATGTTATCTAACTCTCATTTGTAGTATCTATCTAACCTTCTAAAAAGTGACCAACAAGAGACTTCCTTACACTGTTTTTTTTTTTTCTTCTTACGCCAAAGAAATTTTTATTGCACCAAAGTCAAACAACCCTTTTTTTTTTTCACTTGGCCAAATAAAAGTCAAATAAACTATTACCCATTTGTTTCTTTTTCGTGAACAAAGTTTTTCATTTGTTATAGTGTTAATAACAAGTTAGAATGATATCCTTAGACCTTACCCCAATAACATATGCGACCTTTATGAATGTAGAACTATAATTAAGAATAAAAATATGAAAAAAGATTGGCAATATTTGTTTATAATGTGGAAATATAATAGTTATCATAACTTTATCATACCAATCAGCAGATAATAATACAAAAAATAGTAAAACAAGTACGGCAAATAATTAGTTCTTAAAAATGGACGGAACTAATATATAGCAATAAACAATTTAAGTAATTGTCTCCAGCACATTTGCCTTGTGCCAATATGGGCCAGTACCTTAGAGCTACAAAAATGCAGATGGCATTCAATGTATGCTATTCTTTTTCCCCCCTTTTTAAAGCAAATTCTATCACAAAGTACATACATATATATATATATATATATATATATAGACGTTTTTTATAGGTAGGAGTTGAAAACTTGAGTTGAAGTTTAAATTTTTTAGGAGAAGACACTATAATAAGTAGAATGGGTTAATCTATATATAAGCATATTTTATGTTTGGTAGTGATTTTTAGAGTTTAAAATTAATTTTCTAGCTATCAACTGCTAAAATTTATGTTTGGTAAAAAATCATAAAAAGTTATTCTTAAAGAATTTTCAAAGAATTTACAGTCAAAATCATAAGTATCCTAAAGATAATTTTAACTTTTAAATTGTGCGACAATCACTTTAAAATATAATTAATAAAATTTTCATAATACCATTAATATCTCTAAAATAAATATTTATATAATTATAATTTATCAAATACTCAATTATCTTGTTTTTTTAACACAATTAACAACAAATTCTTTATAATTTACTGCACTATCAAACTGGCTCATAGTATTATATCAACACATTTTCAACAAATTTTTTTTAAATTATCGTAGGCCTTGTTCATTTTGTCGATTCGAGTTTAGAATTCGAGTTTTGTTACAGTAAAAAGCTCTCATAAATAGTCACATTTAACTTTTTTACTACAGTAAAAACTTTCACATAACATCACATCTTAACTTAAATTAAAAACTCAAATTAATGAACTATATATATATTACACTGGTAGTTTCAAATCTCAACAACCAGCTGATCCGAAAGGTCTAGAAATTGTAAAATAGAAGAAGAGGAATATAGCTAAGGGAAGGCCCTTTGTTTAATTCTTTTACTTTAGTGGGTCCCTTCCAATTTGGGATTTGACTGA